AATGGTTTCTTGTTCATTTGTGAATTGCTTTCAATGTTAAACAAGAACAAGTCAGGTGAAAAGCATTGTTCATCCTGCTTGGACAAATTCCCCAAGTCCCCATATGATGTTCCCTTGAGCTTGGAAATAAGAAGGACAAAAAGAAATGCTGTATAGGTACATAAATAATGCGAATGAGCGCCTAAACAGTGACATAAAGCAAAGAAAGAAAGAAACAAACAAACAAGGGAGATAGAATAGATCACACTGACTCACTCCCATTCTCTACTACAAAATATGTGAAAGGAACAGCTCATGATATTCAAATTAAATATTCTGCAAACATTGCTTTCATCATCATGATCAGAGCATTTCCTAAGATGCCCTCATACCCGCTGCACTAGGTTAATGATCACGATTATGACAGTCAAGAAATTGTGCGTCGCCAGGGGCTTAACGTGCACTGATTGGGTCGTATAGTTATGATTAATGGGCGAGGCACAAACATTAATGACATATTGATGTGCTCAACCAATTCGTATACGTGCTGACATCAGAATATTAAACATGGGCAGAGGGTAGTGAATGCTCTGTGCTGTAATTGGGATGGATTTAGGTAATGTTGGTTCACTTTGGTTTGGGTGAATTGAAATCATGACAATTTGTGTTAATATTACTAATAAGGGAGTTTACAGATACAATCTGCGCATGGGCAGGTAAAGGTCATTTGTACCATAAATGTAAAACCCACAGTGATGAATACTGGATATGCGCTCATGAAAGTTATGTAACGTTTTTCATTTATGCACCAACGATACGCAGGTGGAAGTATTCTTTTCAAGAGGGCAAACAAAAGGTATTCATGAAGCACATCTAGGACTTTGGCAGTTATTATTCTAATATGCTCAAAGTGGAACTTCTCCATGTGTAAAAGATCTGTGGATATTATTTTGGGTTCATTTGTACCATGTGCTATCTGTAAACTCCCTTATTCAAAGGGTTCAGTTCCAGAATATTTGTTCATGTATAGTCAGATGTTTGTATTTTCATTAATGTATTCATTTATGTTTTTATTTATTCATTAAATAATTCGTTTATTTATCTATCTATTTATGTATTCAGTTTATGTATCCAAAACATTTGTTCATGTCTAGTCAGATGTTTTATGTTCATTTATGTAATTATTTAGGTATTTATATATTCATTTATTTATTCATTCAATCATTTATTCATTAAATCGTTTATTTATTCATCTATGGCCCATATTGAATTTTGTATAATGTGAATGTTCTCGTTGTGTATGAAAGTGTTGAATGGAAAGTGAACTTGACCCTGATCTCTAATATTGAACTTTGACATGTTACCATATAGATGATTATGCTTGTGTAGGAAAGGGAACTTTAAATGGGCCTTTAATAATCGAATTTTGAATAGCTCTTCATATCTATCAATTTTAATGGGTCGAAAAATCGACGATTGAACACAAAAACATTGAACCAATTGTGCGCGCAAGACGGTACATGGTATAATTATTATTCTTTCTAAAGAGGTGAATGTTTGAATTGTCGAAGTAGGAGTTTTCGGATTATTTTCTTTTCACCTTACTACGATGCGGCTTTACACCTCGATAATCACATCTGCGCATAATCATGACTGCTTTGACAGATCCTATGATTTATTTTCACATGAACATTCGGAGTTGGTATATACCTAAATACTTTCGGACCCCGTCCATCAAACATTTAAGGGCAGTTTAAAAAATGACATTTCCTGGCAAATACACTGTACACACGTAATCCAGGTTATCAACATGGTTCTGATACAATACTTCAACACAACAATACAGAGGTGATTATTGGTACCCCCTATATACCAATTATGGGATTATATTCACGTACTTCATTATACCGAACCTTGCCTTGCGCATAACTTATTACACCGCGTCATTATGTTTATTTCTTTGTTCTTGTTATCACGAGTTCTAATTTCAATAAAGATAATAGTTACATAAATACTTGCGAATATGCAAATGGATTATTGGAGCCATAATCAACAAAAGATCGAAAATTAATGCAAAATTCCTAAATTAGTGCTACTATTTTTAGGCTTATATATAACGATACATGCATTAAATAAATATAATAATAATTAATAAAACAAAGACATGGAGCTGTTAATGTGATAGGTTCCTTGGGGCGTTATTGTGATAATAATAGTGAACGTGTTTACAAAAATGACATACCTGTCTGCCAAATAGACCTATCAGCGTCAATCAACATGAACTTCAGACAAGGGTACCGTGTTAATTGCCGTTCGTTTAACATAGTTATTAATGTGGTTAAAGACATGCAGTTGGACGGTTTCCAAGGCTCGAGTTACACGGTATCAAGATGCAAGGTCGAGGGTTCAAAACCCCCTGGGAACAGATTGATTTGATGACTTGTTTTGTCTGACTACTATAAAGAAAGAAATTATACTCTAATAGGCAAGCAACTAATGGACCTACGGGCTCTAAGTTCTATCAGAGAGACTTGTTTATTGCCAATTTATATATTGTATTGAACAAGACTAGTGCATGGCCCAATCATACCTGGTTTTGACCAGGAACCTCCCGGTTACGAGACCACTGCTTAACCAGAGAGCCATTATGCCTCCCCGATTTGAATTGCATGCGCTGTCAATCGTCAGCTGATTCAAAAAATATTAGAACAACAAAATGTTAGAGTTAGGTTAGCTGTAATTTATTCTGATTCATTTTCTGCCGTGTGCTAACTATATCTAAATATTCCATCTATTACTATTAGCCGCATGGAGTGTTTCAGGTTCCAAAACATTTATTTTCCTTTTGAACCTTCATAATTATAAAGATAATGTTGCTCTAGAAATACATTTTAAATTGGCAAGAGGCAACTCCATGTGCAGTGAAGGGACTTTTTGTGCTCGGCTCTTGCAAAAATTTAACAATGAAACGATTTTCAGTTGATTTACACCCTCGTGTCTTGTCTAAATTTGAATTTGGATATTGTTTTCAGTCAATATCATGGATCAGTATTTTATCGAAAAGAGTCTTGAACGTCCTTACCTGTATACTTTGCAGCAAACTTTATGCAAACTTAGGGATGCAGCCAACATAATAATTTATGAATGATATTAGCCTATACAAAATTATTAACAGATGGTTTTGTTTTCTCTCGCACGGTACGCAAAATGTACATGACTTGTATACCCAACAGATATTAAGGCCGAGGACCAGTTATGCCTGAAATTTAAACTTTCTATTGATTTATCGAGACTTGTATCCGTTATGACTGGTCTCCTGAGCGACGAGCTTGACGGAAAAGCATTTTGAGTTGACCTATTTTGTCATAAATGGCATGGAAGTGATTCCACAATCGTTTGGTCATCGCGAACGCACGCGGGAGCAAGCGAGGAAACAAAGTACCATTAATTACGATACAGATTCGTTTTTTCGAAACATGAGATCAAATTGGGCATCAGGTACTTTCGTCGATTTTAGAATATTATTGATTACTTAGATCGATGACCCATTTTCCAGCAGCAATTTTAGTATAATATTGTGCAAATAGAAAGGTTGGATGTCAGTTTTTTCTAAGAATGTCGGCCTAGTTTCGACTACAATGAACTACGATTTCTATTATGACATCTAGATCGGGGGAGGGGGTGGGCTGTATCAAAGATTTTCAGGTATTGTCAAATATTCGATGTTTGCTTTCGTCTCGCTGTTTATGTTTCTTTTTTCAAGTTAGCGTTATGCCCATATATTTCGTAATAAAGATGCCTACATGTTTAGCAGCGGTCAGTCACCAAATAGGCCTCTTTGTTTACATTCCACTTTTCATTCAGAAATTAGATTCATCGCCACGGAAACCGCCTAATCTTCTATTCGGAGATGGTATACCTTTTAACCCTGTCTGCCGTAGTTATCCAGGCTCCTTTTCCTCAAGGGAAATCCAAGATCTGACTCGGCAGGCGACCCCACGACCTTCTACCTCTCAACTATTTGCAATCTGAACCGAATTCTTGATCACATGATCGCTATACCCTCGACACACCCCCGCCGTCCCTAGTAACCCATACACGACCATATACTACAACCATCGCGGGGGTGATTTATGAACACAACATTATGTCCCGACGTGGAAGCAAGCCTATAAATATTACAGGCGTGCTAAGACTGTATACTAGTAGGTTTCTTCTTATCAATGATCCTTGAGAAATCAACAAACATAATTATAAATAGTCATGATATAGTAGGAATATGCTAATAATATTATTACTATTAATAAATGCAAACCTTAGTAAATTTTTCGATGGACCTTCATGACAAGCGCGCTCTTTTCGAAGGATGCATGAAGCCGTACACAATATGATTGATTGAATTCTATCTTCATGTTGACAGCTGAATGAAGAATGCAACGAAATCTCTACTAGTAAAGCGGAATCGACAGCTAAGCATTTTTGGCAGTCATCGACATGAATATAGGTTAAAAACTATAATTACAGGCCCTCTGAATGGGGGAAATGCGCATAGTTACATGACTGTTATTAAAACTAAACAATGATTTTGGACACGACTAATACTGAAACAAAAAGACCTACTAAATCATTAAATAGGTTTATAACTTCGTGCAATTTCAAGACAACACGAACTTATATGATATTAAATTCGAACATTGAATTTGCCCCATTATTAGATTATGTAAAGAACAAAACTTTAAATAATTTCAAGCATGTATAGGCCCTGCGACCTACACTATTGTCTTTACAATCATTTGTTATGCTTAAGTATAGGTGTATACGAGCGGACGTACACGAAATACAGATAAGAACTATAACGGTGATAAATTGTTATTGACACTTATCTAATCGAACTTTGCTCTGTCAAATAAACCACCATCTGGAATGGCGATTTAATGCTATACACTCTAGAATCGAAGTTCTATGATAAAACATGGCGTTTGGGAAACACAATCTTGTATATAAAAATGGGTCACACTTACAATGAGAATGAAGGTCGCAATTGCCTCGGCTAAGATCTCCTTCGCAAGCTTGTTGCGAATTTGCAGCGGGCTCAGCAGCCTGTCCAAAGCGGTCGGCATTATGTATTGATTGTTGACAGCTCGTGTCGTCTGCTAGCTATGACTTCAAAAATCCGCGCCCAACTTCCAAGCTTGAACACGAGAAGGGTATCCCTTTCAGTTGAAAAGGAATCACTTTCAAGAGATACACAGGTATCCAACCTCGATGTCCACTATTGTTTACCGATTAAGTATGTCCGATGAACTTCGCGCCGCTTATTCAAACGTAACTATGTAGGCCTACTTGTAGTGAAACGATTCGGGGACAGAGCTCTATCAACGTTCCTCGCACAAGCGTTCAACTTCCGATTGTGCTACGCGTAAATAGTGTCTTGGCGCGCTGCCACACAAGTGTAGTTCATGCACACTACTAGGAGAGAAGCAAAACATTGGCGATTCCCCATGAGAGTGCATGCACGCCGCTCAACTGACAGCTAGCTTACTTGGGCGGTTAAAGTCGGTCAGTCAACAGAACTAGTCAGATATACCCAAGTTAAACATAATTAGTTTGGAGAGTAGGAGCTATACTGATGCAAATAGTCGTTCTATTCCAGCCACAGAGCTACCCCAACATATCACGCCCCCGTTAATTTTTGGATGAGCCTTTCTATATTGAAGAAGTATACGTAAAATTAAATTAAATAAACAATAATATCGCCATTATGTAGGCCTATATAGACCTAGAACTTTAGCCGGTAAAATATTTTTGTATAGAGAGAAAGAAGAGGAAGAGTGTAGAAACATCTAACTCTCATTATAATAATAACTTTTAAAACGGTGCTTATGGGCCATTATTTTCCGTAATCCACCCGTGTGTTCATTTTATTTCTCTCCCTCTCTCTTTTTATCTACCTATCTCTCGCCATCCCTCTCTCTATTTCTTCCTCTCCTTCTCGTTCGGGCCCCCCCCCCCCCACCCTCTGTGGTACGCTTGACGTTACACTCAATATAATATTACAAGGAGGATATATAGCGCCATCTCTTGATGCGATGTACCGCTTTTCACAATATCACAATAGTACATTCCACTGCTCCCCCCGAATGATACTCATGTATCGTATTGACGTAGGCCTACGTCTTACATTAAAGTGTCAAAAATCACATTTAAATCCTTATTATAGTTACAAATCACAGGCCATAATTTATTTTAGAACAGATCGAACATTTGTTTCCCCTTCCACAGGGTTCTTTATTTTCAAAACAAATTCCATCATAAACAGTATATCCATACATTATATGCAAATGATTACAGAAATAAATTCTATAATGGCTAGACGTAACAAAGATAATAATCGGAGATAATAATCATCATGACCGAAAACTTTGTGGCAGATAAAAATAAAAAATTATGACACAATTTGTATTTGAAATGCACAACAAATTTACCAATCATAAAATACATGATCATGCTCGTGTTGGCACATTCCCAAATATTTTCTAAAGTGAAACCATTTTTCCCCCATTGATTCTCTCTGAGATTTTTTTGGTATATATGTTTTTCCATTTCATAATAACGTTTTACAGCTTATAAAATTATATCAAATGAAATTAGTTAATTTCGTAATTTGGCTGAAAATATTTCTTGTCTTACAACCATCAGAACATTATTGAGTGTATTATTAATGCTACCTCAAAATCCAAACAATAATTATCTTTTAGAGAGTACCTAAAGTATCAACAATACAACATGTTCTCAAAACCCCCTCTTTGTGCACAACAAATTGTTTGACTCCAATTTCCAACTTTTGCCACCATCATTAAACTTTGATTTTCGATGGTTTTCGAATGGTAGTTTGCGAATGATCACAATTGTTCCCTTTCCACAGTATTTATGCCCTTTATTTTCGTTATTTGTTACATTGTACTTTCAGTAAAGTGTACTCAATTCGCCAGTCGAAGAGCCTGCCATGAACGTTCATATTGGTCTCGCCTGTATAATCTATCATCACTATGAACATGACAGACAATGAAAGCGGACAAAATATACAGTTCCTCAGGTAGACAAAGGAACATCCCTTGACTGCTATTATGTAAAATGTGTAGAACAGGTGAATATGCATGTGACACCTGTTCTACACATTTTTACATAATAGCAGTGAAGGGATGTTCCTTTGTCTACCTAAGGAACTGTATATTTTGTCCGCTTTCATTGTCTGTCATATTCATAGTGCATATGGGACGACGGCAAAGAATTCTTTTGAAGACCTCTTGAAAGTTGGGGTGCTTGAGCCCATAGAAGATGATCGGATTGACTATGCTGTTCACTAGCACTATCATGGTACTGTAGGGAGTAAAGACACTGACCAGTATCAGGGTGAAGACATTTACAATGGTAGGTAGGAAACAGAGCATGAAAACACAAACGACCATGAAGAGATTCTTCGTGATCTCGATCTCCTTTCAGTTGATGGCCTTGATCATGGGCGGACGAGACCTGTAGAAGAAGAAGCCTTGTTCTGATGTGCCTCTGTTAAGCTTGAACCAGTATTTTCATCCAGGCGCGGATCCAGGGGGGGGGGGGGGGGGGGGGGGGGGGGGGGGGGGCAGCGGGCCCGCAAAAGAGAGATAGAGAAAGAGATAAGGGAAAGGGAAAGAGGAGAGAAGGGGAAAGAAAGTAGAGGAAGAAAAAAAAAGAAAAAGGGTAAAAGGAGATCGGGGGGGGGGGGGACCGAAAGGGCCTTGCCTCCCAGCTGTTACCTACCCCCCCCCCCCATCACAAAATAAGAGAGAAGGAAGGAAAGGGGAAAAAAGGAAAAGAGGAAATAAAGAGAAGGAAAGAAGAGGAAGAATAAAAGAAAAGAAGGAGGATATCAGTTGTAATTGGCCTACTGATGGGGGAGGGGTTGGGGGGGGGGGGGGAGACAGATGCCCCAAATAAATTTCAAACGTGGTTTATTTCTAATTCGATACCGGTGATTTACAAATGATGGTGAAATGACATAATTTTCCGAAATTTTCCTCAATCTTTAGTAAATTATACTTTTTTGTGCGTATGTTGAAAAATGGCAAATTCCTAAAGAAAGAAAGAAAGAATAGTAACCTGCCTTTCTCCCAAAATAATGAGGTGTCAAAATTTGCTTATCTGACCGTGAATAAATGCATAAAACCACTGAGCTTCCGAGGGCTCTGCCCCCTGGATTTCACCTAGGGCCCTAAGGCGGGCACCTGGATGCTTATAAGACGGTAATTCAATGCTTAAAACCCCTGAGCTTCTGGGGTCTCCACCCCCTGGACCTCACACCAATAATTAGTGTCCTGCCTGTGTCACAAAAAAGGTATCAAAATATGTTCATCTGACCGTAATTAAATGCCTTAAACCCCTAAGCTTCCGGGGCTCCGCCACCTCGAACCCGCCAAGGGCCCTAAGGCAGACCCCTGCATGCTTGTCTGGCCGTTATAAAATGCCTAAAACCCCTGAGCTTCTGGGGGCTCCGCCCCGTGGACCCCATGTCAATTAGTGACCTGCCAGTGTCACAAATAAGGTATAAATTTGCTCATCTGAATGTAATGTAATTTATAAAACCCCTGAGCTTCTGTGTGCTCCGCCGCTTGGACCCCACACCCATTTGTGTCCTGCCAGTATCACAAATAAGGTATAAAAATATGCTCATCTTAACCATAATTGCCCGAAACGGTTCAATGACACATGCTCCGTCGACGATGCTCCGCCGACATTTACTCCGCAAAACGCGACAATTGCTCCGCGACAGTTGCTCCGCCGACAGTTGCTCCGCTGACATGTGCTCCGCCGACATGTGCTCCGCCGACAATTGCTCCGCCGACATTTGCTCCGCCGACAATTGCTCCGCCGACAATTGCTCCGCCGACAATTGCTCCGCCGACATTTGCTCCGCCGACAATTGCTCCGCAAAACGCGACAAATATTGCTCCGGTGACACATGCTCCTCGAACGACAGTTGCTCCGCCGACAGTTGCTCCACCGACAATTGCTCCGCAAAACGTGACAATTGCTCCGGTGACATTTGCTCCGCCGACATTTGCTCCGCCTGAAGCGACACTTCCTCCGGTGACATTTGCTCCGCCGACAATTGCTCCGCCGACATTTACGACAATAATTGTTGCTCCTCCCCAAAAGTACCCCGCAAAAGACAATGATCCAAAAGTGCGGCCTCGTGGAAGACATGAATGCTCCTCTGGCAATTAGTGCAATAAATGCTCAGCCGTTTTTACTATTCCCCATAATGTTTGATTAAAAAAAAACATCAAGTTTTAGCTCCTTATATGCAAGTTCTCCAGCGAAAGATAATTACTCCGCTCAAAATCTGTTTCATTTATTACTCATTAGCCGATCCAAAGCTCAAGGATCTCTCTCTCTCTCTCTCTCTCTCTTGCTTTTCTTTTTCCTTTTTACACCCTTTTCTTGTCTTCTTAACTCTTTTCTTTCCTCTCATGCTATTAGTCTTCTTTCATTTTCATCACTTCTTCTTTTCTTCCCCTCTCGAGTTCTAGTTCTCTCGTGAAATTGTAACGTAATGTAGTACATGTAGTACATTCTTGTTTAGAATAGTATTTTCAATAATATCCAGTCCGTCTTCTATAGGTTTCTTTCCTTCAGTTAAGTGTATGTAGCTTTACTATATATATATATATATATATATATATATTGGTGTGTAAAACACCCCGTCTCATTCGAGTACTTTGTTTTCACTGACTTTAAGGGACTCACGGAACCACCGGAAGAAGAGCAATTGGCTTATCGTGAAGAACTGACATCAAACTGCAACAAAATGATTTGTATAAATGGGAATAAGCAGAAAGGCTGCCATCTAATTTTCCCGTCTGAATGGGTTCTCTTCTTTAAGTATAAGTGCCCTTCAAAGCTTATTTTGATCCCTCCCCTGTTGCTTTCTAGAACGTCCACGATGACCTAATACATTGTATCAGGGGCGTCGCTAGACCTTTTTCAGTGGGGGAGGGGGGGGGGTTGGTGTAGAGGCCAACGATTACCGACAAAACTAGCCACCAATTACCGACAAAATTAAGTGTCTCAATATCTACAA